GTTGCTGCAATGCAGTGCAATTAGTGTAGTGTAATGTAGCGTAATGATTTGTATGTGTAGTTGTAGCGTAGTGGTAGTGGTAGTGGTGGTTGTAGTTGTAGTTGTAGTGGTAGTGATAGTGGTAGTTGTAGTTGTCTATCTATTTATCTATCTATATATCTATCTATCTATCTTTCTATCTATCTATCTATCTACCTATCTATCTATCTACCTATCTATCTATCTATCTGTCTGTCTATCTATCTATCTATCTATCTATCTATCTATCTATCTATCTATCTATCTATCTATCTATCTATCTATCTATATGTCTATCTATCTATCTATCTTTCTTTCTATCTATCTATCTTTCTATCTATCTATCTATCTATCTACCTATCTCTACCTATCTATCTACCTATCTATCTATCTATCTACCTATCTAACTATCTATCTATCTATCTACCTACCTATCTAATCTATCTATCTAATCTACCTATCTAATCTATCTATCTATCTAATCTATCTATCTAATCTAGCTATCTAATCTAGCTATCTATCTATCTATCTAGCTAGCTATCTATCTATCTACCTATCTCATCTATCTATCTAATCTACCTATCTAATCTATCTATGTATCTATCTAATCTATCTATCTAATCTAGCTATCTATCTATCTATCAGCTAGCTAGCTAGCTATCTATCTTTCTATCTATCTATCTAGCTATCTATCTATCTATCTGTCTATCTATCTATCTATCTACCTATCTGCTATCTATCTACCTACCTGCAAGCTTGAAAACGAAGCTATTCTGCGAGACTTCCTCCATTTTTGATCTTGACAACATCAGAAGCGTGGCAAGTCTGCGAGGCTTCCTCAACTTTTGACCTTCATAACGTCAAAAACGAAGCAATTCTGCGAGACTTCCTCAAATTTTGAAGTTGGCAACATCAAAAACGAAGCAACTCTGCGAGGCTTCCTTCAATAATGGAAAGTTGGGTGCAGAGCTGACGGCCTCGTGCCAATGAAAATGCAACCTCTCTCAGGAAATCAGCGCCCGGACCTCTTAACATCTCTGTTGAACATGTCTCTTGTACTGCGCCTGCCACGCGAAACGAGATCTGAACGTCCAAAAGTGGTCTAAGACCATCAGTTTTTAACACTTTTGACTTGGAGCCGTGCTTCGCGCCACAGCTGCGTGCACTTTTTCGACATGTCAACTTCCAAAAGTGGTCCGAGAATGCTTTGCACATTTTGACTTGGAAATGTGCTTCGCGCCACAACGGTGTGCACCTGCATCTTCTTTCTTCTCACTCTTTCTCTTCTCTGATCTTTTTCTTCTGCTCTTCTCCTCTCTGACTCTTCCCACCTCATGCCACCTCTGCTTTTCCATCTGTCCATATTGTCGGAAGTTTGACTTCTAAACTTCCTTCGGCTGGGGTGTCATTTAGGGTTTAAACAAGGTATAGAATCCCCCGGCTCCATGGAACAATTCCCCACCCCTCTATTAGGGTATCATTTTTGGTCTATATGAGGATAATCCCCGGCCCCATGGAACAATTAACAATATTTCTATTAGGTTTCATTTTGGTTTATATAATTATTAAATCCCCGGGCCCCGTGGAAAAATTAGCCATGCTTCTATTATTTTCTATTAGGGTTTCATTTAGGGTTTATACAAGTCATAGAATCCCCTGGCCCCATGGAACAGTTAACCATATTTCTATTAGGGTTTCATGTAGGGTTTATACAAGTTATACCATTATACCACATGAACACTCCAGACCCGCCAAAAAAGTTAAAAGGGAAAAGGCCGACAGGCATGAAGTCCGCAGAGGGTTCACTTTTCCGAGAAAATTTTCCAAACATTTGACGTGGAACATAGTAACCCAAAGATGTACCAAAGTCAGAAATGAGCCTCCTTAAGACGTCACTCGTTCCATTCCGGGCAAACCCGCAGTCCTGCCTGTAAAATTGCCACAAATTCACCATGTTCAGACACAACATAGACCCTGCACATCACAATTTTTTCGAGGAAAGTAGTCATCCGACCCCCCGACCCATGGCAGGGTTGTCATGTCAGTGGGGGGAGGGTAAGTCGCATGTAAATTTACTTTTTCACCCAAATACCATACCAAGTTGGATATACATAATATACTTATATATCCCATGATAATCCATTACCAGTAGTACCGCGCAAGGCGGTGGCGGAAGTTTCAAAAATAGGAAGCCTATAGGAGAGGTTGGTTGTTGTGAGTCACGGACGCCAGAGCGAAGCCACTGATGGACCGACAGGTCGTTGAGGTCTCCTCTCTTTCTCTCTCTGTCTTTCTCTTTCTCTGACTATCTACCGACCTACCTACCTATCTATCTATCAATCTACCTATCTATCTATCTATCTACCTATCTATCTATCTATCTACCTATCTATCTACCTATCTATCTATCTACCTATCTATCTATCTATCCATCCATCCCTCCCTCCATCCATCCATCCATCCACCCATCCATCTATTCTAT